AATTAACGTTAATTGATACTGCGGCTTATAATCCGGTGCGGCTTTTGGTCGTGAAAATACGGTAGATGGACAACTTCAATCATATTGTAAAAAAAATATCTAATGGGATTGATTAATTTTCTGACTGATTGACTCATTCATTCTTTCTTTGTATGGCTACTTACCTCTCAAGCAGATCTTAGGGAATATTATTTCAGAAGGTAGGAACTTATACAAACAAAGCACATTTTCTAAATCCCATCAAATGGATGAGATTTGAAGCATTGCCAACTTCTATATTTAGAAGGTCCCGTAAAAACAGGTTGTTCCTCCAAGTAAGGAGGCACCAGGCTAGGAACCAGGGGGTTGTGAGTTCTAGTCCGATTTTAGGCATGAAAGCCAGCTGGGTGACTTTGGGCCAGTCCCTCTCTCTCAGCCCAACTCCCCTCACAGGGTTGTTGTTGGGGGAAATTAGGAGGAGGAAGGAGAATTAGATAGGTTTGCTGCTTTGAGTTATTTATAAAAACAATAGAGGCAGGATTTTTAAAAAAACCTAATCTAATCCAACCTTGTGTGTTATATTGTTTTTAGAATGGATGACCTTTCTCCTTCTGGATATCTTTGGTTTGGACTTGAGCAATCTTATAAATCAAATCGATAAAACCTGTTTCTGGTTCATATATTTGCCACCCTTCAGTCACTGCAGGGACGTTCCCCCGTCCCCCCTGTGGTATCTTCAAAGATACACTTTTATTTGTTCCCACGTTCCTTAAATTAACTGATAAGGGTAAAAAGAAGATTCAGCTACTCAGCTAGGGACTTCTTGATAGCATATGAAAAAGCAAATCATCCAGATCAGGGAAAACAACACATAAATAAAATATTAAAGAAGCTTCTTTGCCAGTATGGCTGATGCAATTAAATTTTGATCCTGCTGGAAGGTGAAACACAATTCAAGGCGTTCTATCATTCGATGATCTCATACTTCCTATTTTATGTGTGGTTTGGCTCTTTCATCCTGCATTATGTTGCCTCAGAACTTCTTGTAAAACTTCTGTTTTCTATTTTCTGTTTTGCTCAGTCATTTGATTAAATCAATATTGGGGGTGAAAAAAATCTGTGAACAGTCATAACAAAACCTGACACACTTTGTTTTCTTTCTGGCCCAGAAGCCATAGATCTTCTGCCATAAACTTCACTTCCCTGCCTCAGATACTAGTGCAGTGATGGCAAACCTTTTTTGGCTGCCGTGCCAAAAATGGGGGAGCACAGAGAGGTTGTGCGCCTGTGTGCCACACCCATAATGCTATGTGCGCCCCCCCCAGTACACGTGCATGCACGCGATCAGTGACCCACCCACCCCGCTTTTGCAGCATTTTTTTTCGCCTTTCCCAGGCTCCAGAGGTTTTCTAGGAGCCTGGGGAGGGTGAAAACAGCCTCCCGCCTGGACGCCCTCCGGAGGCCTCAGGAGCTTCCCTGAACTTCCGGAGGGCAAAAATGGACCTATGGAGAAACCAGAAGTTCGGGAATGGTGACTTCTGGTTTGTCCATAGGGCCAATTTTCAACCTTATTCCCGAACTTCCGGTTTCCCCTTAGGGCCGTTTTTGACCTCCGGAGCTTTCAGGGACCTTCAGGAGGCTTCTTTAAAGGCTCTGGAGGGAAATCGGACCTATAAGCAAACCAGAAGTCCATTCCAAAATTTCCGGTTTGCCCGTAGGGCCAGTTTTTCACTCTTTGGAGGCTTCAAGGAAGCCTCGGGGGGGGGGGGGGGCTCAAGAGAAGGCCGGTCAGCTGGCCAGCACGCACATGGGTGCTGGCCAGCTGACC